AAAGAGAAAAATGAAACTGCTGTCAACTGTAGTAGTAGGTGGAATAGAGATAGCTTCTAGTAAAGTGTTGCATAAGAATCATGATTGGGCTGTGTACTGAGAAGCATAGGTGTATATATATCTTGGCTTTCCTGGATCTTAAGCTTTCTACAAAAGAATACTAGAGAAACACCAATTTCCTTATTCCTTGCGGCTTTGTTTATTACAGTGTGATGAAATGAAGAGTAATGAAATAGTCAAGGCTAGGAACATGTGTAAAGGGAGTTAACATTTGTTTTGTCAAAACAGTTGCTTAAAAAACCAACACGCTGCTTTTGAGTACCTAAGCCCTTGAAGTCTTACACCTAAAATCTTGTGTCTGCATTTGCTTACTGTAGATTTAAACTGTAAATATGAGCCCTGGTTTGTGTTGCCATATCAGATATTCAGCAAACAGTATAGTAGCTGAATCGGGTGTATGTGCAGCTGCAGGGATTTAGCTGCAAGCATGGGCCACAGAACCTATATGTTGTCTAAGGTTGTAAAAAGAATGTTATGTGACTTCAGACTTGAGTGATTACGTTTGTTTGCTGCAGGGAAGGTCCTCCAAGGGAGAAGTAGTATAAGAGTGACAAACAGAGCAGATGCTCCCTGCTTGCAGCACAGCATTCTTCTCCAGATGAATGATGCTTTCACAAAGCAGTTCTTGAAGGGATTCCTTGGGCTATGTTCCCTTTCCTAATTTCCAGGCACCTGATACTAATTTACTACTGGCTTCAAAAACACCCTAGAGCGGCTTGTTTACTTGCTTGGGAAGTATGACTATATAACCAAGAGAGACTGCTCCAGAGGAGAGGGAGAGTGACTGTCTGGTATCAGCTGTGGAAAGGGTTCTGAATTTTCAGCTGGTGGTCCAAGCTGGTAACCAGAAGTCCAGCTGAGGTGAGTTTTGAGGGATTACTGTTTGGGTGTAATGCCTTATCACCATAATACTGCCTCAGTCTTACTGTACCCATGTGCTGAGTTCTGCAAGAACTCTACAACCTGCAAGACTTTTTTTTATATTAGGCAAATGGTGGTGGTTTAGCCCATGTGGTAGCCCTTAAAACTGCTGCTTTAAACTCATTTCCAAGAATGTGCTGGTTCTTGGGTCATGGAACAGGAGTATCTGAGTATTTTGTGTGTGGTGTTTTAATGCTGAGCATCAGCTGGTGATTGAATTGAAAATGCTGGTGGTTGTTGTGAGGAAATGGATGTGAGCATCTTGGCTTTGCTCCACCTGACTTGCATTGATTCAGCTGGGTTGAAATGCACTGTCATCTTGCTTCTCTGAAGACAGTGTATGAAACTGTCACTTGTCCTTTGAGTAAATTAGTCTCAGTTCTGTGTATAAAGTACCATATCTTCAGATTATTTTGGAGAAGAGGAGAGTTTTGTTGATATTTTTTTACTTTGGTATGTTTGTGTAATGAGGCAATTCCATTCTCCGTCAAATCACATGACGCTAACATTTGGAGTTCATTCATTACTTTATGTTCAATGAAATATCAGAACCAAGATAATGTCATAACTTCATCATAAGTGAAAAAACTGTGTTTACTTCTGGCATTATAATATCAACATGCTTCAGACCTTGGAAAATAAAAAGTTCTAACTGTTGGTGATGTTTTTGTAGTATAAAACTCTTCTTGACTGGCAGTTGTATGTATTGTGTATCCAGATGTTTGATATGCATCTGAGATATGAATTTGAAACTACTGGAAAATTATATCCATAATATAACTTCCATGGAGGTTGAACTTTAGATGCTGAGCTTGGATACTTGTGCTTTTTTTCAATTTCCTAGGGAGAAAAAAGAACTTTTTCAGCTAGTCACCATGCCTCTTGCCAAAACCTGGGATTTGGAGAGTGCTGGTAGGTCTGGAGGCCTCCGTCTACCCAGCTGAATGACCAGATGCCTGGAGAGCACTGCTTCTGCCAGTGAGCAGAGGGGCCACCCCCTCCCCTGCCCGGGCTGGGCATGCTGCCACCTCATGAGCTTCTACCCAGTTTGAAGGCACCTTAATGGTCATTTGGGGGTTTAATCCAGTGCCTTGTGCTGTAACCTGAACAGTGCCCTGCCCAGTGTCTCCTTGATTATTCCATAGCCAGTTTTCCAGATAAATGCAGAAAACACCTGACTTGTTCAACAAATATTTTGCTGTGAAAATCCTTATTGCATCAAGTCAAACTAATATTTCCATGTTGGGCATTGTAATGAAAGTGAAATACTTAAATTCACTTAACATAGTCACACTGTTTTCATCTTCTATTGTCGCTGTTCCCATGGTAATTTGTTTTCTTTCAAGTTTTTTCCCCTTCAGGCAATATAATCTTGTGTGTATATATAAATATACATTAAAGTTAAGCAAGCTTTGCTTTATAGTACTTCATACATTTCATTTAACTCTTTGTTGTGGTGTTTACCTGTCACAAGATACAATACTACTTATTATCCAAGGGTGGGGGGAAAATCTTCCGACTTTGTTATGAGGTAGCTGAGATGTTTTAGAACCAGCTGTTCTTCTACAAACATGCAAACTGTTATATTAGATTTTAACTTAATTATTCTTGTCACACCAATAAGAGCTATGTTGTCTGGCAGAATGCTTGTGTACTTATTTTATGCAGGTGTCATTCAACCTGAAAATAAACTTAAAAGTTAAAACTCACCCTCTGTTCTGTATTTTAAAGCCTGATGAAAGCATAAGGTAGTTTACACCAACCTAGAAAAGTAGGCTTTTCCTAAAGGCAAACAACTGGGAATGCAGTCAGCTTAGCGGAAAGACCTTGTATCTATGTCTTTGTTCAGTGCCTTAATAGTACCTCCCCTGGATTTGGTGGGAAGTAGCTATCTGTACCGACATCAGAACTAATGATAGTTTCAAAGCTGTGCTTTATCAGAGTATCTTATGTCACCAGTTCTTTTAGAACTTGGTCTTTTGTGTCTTGGTCTGTCTGATTGTCTCCAGCTTTGCAGCTACTTTCTCTAGCCTGTTTCATGCATCATACTTGGCATTCTTATTTTGGTACTGCCTTGCAGGAGGACTTACCTCTCTAAATTGGGGGGAGGCTGCTTGAGCCTTCTTCAGATTTTGCTGCTTAATATCAAGTCTGTTCTGATTTTACAGTATTCGACAAACTACAGGTATTTAGTGTATAGAAATACTACATTTAGTCAGCAGAGGGAGAAATCTTGCAGGGGGAGGACTGCAATGATGGGGATTTGAGGGGAACATCTAGTTTAAAAAACAGTAAAAAGCAATGTCATTTGGGTTGGCCAGTTCTGTGTCAGCCTGTTTGCAGCTCGGAACAGCTCAACTGTGTATAACTTAGTGTCTTTGTGGAATTTCTTAGAACTATATACAATATTTATAAATACACATGTATACAATATAGGAATAAATGTAAAAATAGGTAAGACTGCATAACATGCATTAAGAACACTTTTTCATAGTCTGTCATGTCAGTGCAATAGCACAAAGCATTTCTGTGCTGTTGAATGTGAGTGAATCCTTACCCTTTCCTGAGTGAACACTATGTGTGTAAAGATGAACTCTACTGAGGGAAGAGGCAGCCAAACAGTGGGGCTTTTGTATCTGGACAGCTATCTGCTCAAACAGTTTAATTTTGGCTGAAATTTTAGAATCAGTTCCTCAGTGTGAAAGAACAGCATGGACTGGGTATTTCACAAAACTGCATCAATTACAGAGTACTGAAACTGCTCTACAAAGTTTGCTTGAAGCGTTAAATTTGTCAAAGGCTTGTTGAAGTGTCTGATTCAAACAATTGTAATACATGTCCATGTTTTTATTTGATTAATTAAAAATTTGTGTTCAGGTGGTTTGAAGAAAATTAATTTTGATTAAGCCAAGTTTATTTAATTACAACAGTGACAGTATGTCAGCAGCCTATGTTAATATTATCTTTATAATGAAGGTCTTTGCTAATTGGTCGTCTCCCAGTTATCTTGTATGTAATGCTGGAGTTATAACTGGCTTGAGGCAGTGCTTTCTCTGAATTGCAAGATCTTTTTGAAATGGTCACCCCGATTGTCATCTTACTCTTCCATTATACAGTTGAAGAGCTACATTCATTGTATATAATGGAGTGAGGAAAATCATCTGGTTTTAGACTTCTTTTAAGATGCCTTTTTATTAAGTAAAATTCAGTTTTTAGGTTGGTACTTAATTTGTGATGTAAATAAATGGGAAACTTTTAAAGAAAAGTTAGATTAATGTGTAATTACCCTTTGTGGATCTCTGAGTCTTAAATATGTTTACATTGATACATGTCTGACTGTATCATAATTGAGAGATCCTCTGTTTTGGTATGGTTGTACTTAAGGTACTCCAAGTTTGTGGTTTATTTTGGCAGTTGTGGGGGTTTTTTTGACATTCCCTTTCTTACGGTGACATACTTTGAGGTCACATTCAGGTTGTATTTGTTATGTTATTCCTGCAGTTCTTGGGGTATTTTACTTTCCAAAATATTTTCAATCCAAATGTGTCTGAGTGCCTTATCAAGTGAATGTTATTAAAAATGCAGTGGGATTACAGTAGTGATGCCAAACAACTAAAATTTAAAATTATTCTCTTGACAGAGAATAATGCTAAATGTCTTATTAATTCTGAAAATATTTAGCTATTACCTATTTGTGTCAGTGTTTATGTATGAATTTAAAACCAAGCATCGTTCAAACACTGCTTTTGCCAATTTGAGAATATCATCATACAGTGTGCACTGACTTAAGCTGGTTGTTTTTATAAAGCATCTCACCTTTCAAGTCTTAGGATGCAATCTGAAGGAGTAATGGTTGTGGCTGCAGAATGACTTTTTGCTCTAAGCTATGCACTTTTGATATGTACTTGATTGCTTGAATTACTATCTGATAAGACTTTTTTTCCAAAGCCATATAACTGCAAATCTTTTTGGGCTTACAACATGCTAATGTTCTTATGTATTTTTTTCCCTTTAAGGCAAGAACTTCTGAAGTGGAATGGATGGGGATATAATGACTCCAAATTCATTTTCAATAAGAAAGGTCAAGCAGAATTCACAGGGAAAAGGTAAGTTAAAAATTTATATAACCAAACTATCTTTAATGATTATTTTTTTGGAGAAGAGTTTAAAAGCAATACTGTTCAATTAATCTCAAGAAGTCAAAAAAACTTGGTTTATCTCATAGAATAGGTTATTAGTTGTTCTGCATTTAAGAAGTTTACTGAATTCTATACATAGTAGTCTAACATAGTAAAATAGACTGTGTGGCTTATTGGAAGGCTTATTAAAAGTATTGTAAGGACAAATTAATATGAGTTTTCTCTGTAACTGGATATACTCTGTGCATTAAACTTCCCTTGGAGAATGGAATCAGGCTGAGAATCTGCACCAAGTTCTCTTCTTTTACTCCACTCTCATGAGACCCCACCTGGAGTACTGTGTCCAGCTCTGGGGCCCCCAACATAAGACAGACATGGCCCTGGTGGAGTGAGTCCAGGAGAGGACCACAAAGATGTTCAGAGGGCTGGAGCACCTCTCCTGTGAAGACAGGCTGAGAGAGTTGGGGTCATTCAGCCTGGAGAAGAGAAGGCTCCAGGGAGACCTTAGAGCAGCCTTCCAGTACCTAAAGGGGCCTACAGGAAAGCTGGAGAGGGACTGTTCACAAGGGTGTGTAGTGATAGAATGAGGGGTAATGGCCTTAAGCTGAAGGAGGGTGGATTTTTATTTGATATTAGGAAGAAATTCTTTACTGTGAGGGTGGTGAGGCACTGGAACAGAGAGATTGTCCAGAGAGGTTGTGGATGCCCCCTCTCTGGCAGTGTTCAAGGCCAGGTTGGATGGGGCTTTGAGCAACCTGGTCTAGTGGAGGGTGTCCCTGCCCATGACAGGGGGATTGGAACTAGGTGGTCTTTAAGATCCCTTCAAACCAAAACCATTCTGTGATTCTGATGCTTTAGATAACATGCTTTATTAAATTTCCAGGGTTTTTTAGGTTTCTTAAGCATTGTGCATGATGCTACTTCATGCTCTGAAGTTAAAAATAACAACTGCTCTCAGTTGTATGTTCTGTAGTGGCAATACTTCTGATTTATTATTTACTAGCCCTTTGTACAGCAAGCTTGTTTTTTTGAGGTTTTTTTTCAGGAAATGACATTAAAATTAAGTCTACTTGGGGATCTCTGACTTTGTTCCAGTGTGATTTAATCCTGTCACTTGACATCTTAACTGGGTTTTTTCCTGCTTCAGTGGGAAGTAGTCCTGCAGTCTCTTCCCTAGTTTGAAAAGTATACTTCTTGTAAGAGTGAAGAAAAAGAATGGGAAGAGAGAGAAGTCTGAAATAAATACTGTCCTTAAAAAAAAAAATATATATATTTCTTTGTGGTCTTTGAGTTTGTGTAAACTAGCATGAGCTGGTTTGAGTCAAAGCTGCAAAAACCTAACCAGGATGTTGAGCACTTTAATCCTTAATTTCTTAATTTTCAGGCCCAGATTAAAATGCAAAGCCTTGTGTTAGGCACTTGAATTCACTGCGTAATATTTAGGAAGATCTTGGTGATCTCTCTCCTCTTGCTGGGATTCTGACTCTTGTCACTTTGTCACTCATTCATATCTTATCTGGGGTAGGTTATGCTGCACAGAAAATGTATGCAGTGTGCTTTGAAGGAAAAAAGGTAAAGAGCTGGACTTGGATTTTTTTTCAGGAGGAGGCATCAAGGCTGCTGTTTGAGTACCAGCCACTGTTATAGAATGGGGGGAGAATGGTGGTTTTTCTCCCATCTGCATTCTCTCTCTAACATAGATAATATTAGAAATGCCCTGTTGAGCCACACCAGTGTAGTTTCTGTGGAATAGTTTGTCACAGTGGCAAAAGGAGAGTGTTTGAAGTGAAAATAGGAGAATAAGCATCTGCAAAGATGTTGTAGATGCCTCATCCTTTTAATATCAACTTACAGATCTGTTGTCCATAAATCTAATACCTTCCAAGTCTGCTGATACTGTCTGCCTCTACAGCATCCCATGGCAGCAAGTTCCAGGTTGCTGTTAAGTACTTGTGTTTTAAACCAAGTATTCCTTACTGTGTTGCAGGATTAGGTGAATGACAGTTCTTTACCTATCTACTGCTTTGTTAATTATATAAGACTAAATTGTGTCTTCCACTTTCTCTCCGTACTGAGGAGTCCTGGGCCCTCTAGCCTCTACTTGTAAGGCCCCTTGGTTTTTACAGTTGCTGTTCTCTGAATGCTCTCTAGCTCTATTACATCTTTTTGGAGATACAGGGACAAAACCAATGTGCAGCACTGAAGGTGAGGATAAACCAGGGTTCTGCAGAGCAGCGAAAAGATATTAACAGTTTTCTTTCTTACACCTGCCTGGCTGGTGCATAGCACTGTTTGCTGTTGTATGTTCTCATAATGCCATGATATTTCCTATACTGACTACCAGTCTGATTCTGCAAAAATATGAAGTAATACTTTTTTTCCTCTTGCTATTATCTGTGTCTTATCTTCCATCTTCATCTGTCTGCTCAAGCTTTTTAAGTTCCTAAGTTCCTTCCTATTAGTGTAGTATCTACTTACCCAAAAGAGCTTAATATTATTCACCTGGCTGGAGAGTCCACTGATTAACATTATGTAAAACTGGTCCTGGTACCAGTGTGTGGCAAGCTTCACTCCTGAGTCTGTGTTGGACAGTGATCAATAAACTCTCCCTCTGCTTCTTAACCTTATCTTATCCTTTAGCCTGTAGAAAAGCTTTCCTTCAGTACTGTAGCAATGTATTTTTTAAATAGCTTTTGTGGTGAACACCTGTGGAAAAGTATAAAGGAGTGTGGAATTTAATGTTCATTGTATCCCCTTTATTCACTCTCTTTTCCCACCCCGATAGAACTCCAAGAGTTAGTGAAACAGGATTTCCCTTCGAAAGCCATGTTGATTTTCCCAACAGACCATGCTTTTCCATTTGTCAAATGATCTTTTTACTATAGATTCTGCCATCTTACCAGGAATAGATGATACTTGGTAGTCTGAGCAACTAAACCTGTTTTTTTTGGGTTTGTGTGTGGGGAGGAAGTCTTTTGGGGGGCTTCTTGCACCATCATTGTGCATACAAAGCTTGCTTCCTGAGTGATCATGCATTGCATTTTCTGCAGTAAATTCACTAACTATGCTGTGGCTTCTGTCTGTGTCTTGACTTAAGTTGTTGGTTTTCTGATAGCTTTGGTTTGTCCTTTGAAGTGATTAAGGTTACCCTTGCAAGCTAGCTATAGTAATAGGTTGGCAGTACCAAAAAGTATGTCTGGAGATGAAAACACACCAAGCTGGCTTGAATCTCTCTGTACCATTGTTGCAAACTCATGATGCAAATGCATTAAACTTTCATTGCTTATTGCATTTTCCTTTTCATAGAATTCACTTAACTGTTTCCGATGAGTATGATACAATAACAGCTGTCACAGGAAGAAGGACTGAATGCTGTTTTCAAAGCTGAAGAGCTAGCTTGAGTGGAGATATGGTTGTAGCCTTTTATCTCTAGGAATAGAGTAGGGGTGTGTTACAATAGGAGAACTGGGAGGTAGCTGACATGAGGAAACAAAAGGAATTGATCTTTCTGAGTAATAAGTGACTTAGTTGTAGAGTTGTTTGCAACAGCTGTGAAGGACAGGGTCATAATTGAATTAACATGATTGAATAATCTTGGACCCATGAGGCATAATGCAGTGACCCAAGTGCAAGCTATAGTAAGCATTTTCAGCTGCTGAAAGCTCTTAATACCAAAGAAGGATCTTTCTCCTCAGAGAATGCTTGTGCATATGTAAACATGCACAAGGTATATGTATACAATTAATAGCAATAGTTTCTACCTGTTTAAGTGTGTCCCTAGCCTTACATTTTTACGTTAACAAATAGCTCCTCTGTCCCTTGTCTGTAAGTCATGTCACATGACTAAGCTCTTGTGAAAGAGTTTGCAATAGAAATAAATTCACATTGCTTGATGGATTCTGATGATGAGGGAAGAATCTTTAACACTGTTATCAAAACATGTAAGGTCTACTGAGCTGGGTTTGTGTGTCAGACTGCTGTTTACATTGCAGTGTGTCCATACACACGTGGCCTCTGCCTGTAAATGGCATGAAATCTGTGACACTGTTTTCTGTACTACTGAAAGGGAGAGACCTTTCTTAAAAGTAAAGATGGGGGGGTGGGATGTCTGAAAAGCCTTATGCCACAATTCCCAAAGATCGTGAAGGAAAATAATACCTAAGATGTTGATAATTGATTTTGTGTGAAGTACAGAAGTTAAATAAATGAAATGTGCAGTTGCTTGAAAACTAAATGTGTGGAAGCTTTGCAGGCTTATAGGTAAAGAATTTGATTTAAAACATAACTATTTGTGCATACCTAGAATCAAAAGAAGTGTATCTGACATACAGTCTTTTAATTTAAAATGACCCTATGTAATATTGACTTTTCAGGTACAGATTAGGTGGTATGGTATTACCAACTTTTAAGGAATGGATAGAAAAAACCTTTGGAGCAAGTCTGGAGCACAAAACTACCTCTAGAGTAAGTAAATAGCAGAACCAGTTCTTTTGAACATTAGTCTTGGTGTTAATCAAGACCACATTGTTAAAGATGATTCAGCTGTTGTCCTGAAGGTCACCTTGCATGTGATTTAAATATAGTGTATTACCTCAGAGTTTTTGAAAAGTGTTCTATGTGAAATGTTCAATGACTTAGCATGACTTGTGGTTCCAGGTTAACGGGTAGTACTTCTATTGGAATGAAAGTCTCCAACACAGGGAGGATTTTTTTGTCCTTATCTGTAGGTTGGCTTTCAAGATTGTAGAAACTGTTAGCCTAGAGGGAATTGTTTATACAACATCAATGCTCATGATAACAAAGAGAAGATATAGTGAAGTTAAATTGTGCTGTGTTTTCAGTATATTTAATGATATCCAAGCTCTTACTTGACAGTAATTTTTATTTTTACATGTCTGGGTGCTAAAAATCTGGCTACCAGAATACTCAAGATGGAACTAAAGTTTTCAGAAAAACAACGCATTCAGAATGTCCTGGGTTTTGTGAAGCATCTGTATTTTGCTTTTCAAGAAGAGTAACTTATGTCAGAGGTAGGAGACCTGACTCCCTTCTAAGAATTCCGTTGAGGCTGTAGGTTCCTGACTAGATAGCTGCTTAAGCAGTGTTGGAAGCAGGCTGTGCTTGTACGATGACTGTAGCAATCCTGCTTTGGGTAGCAGTTTCACCCATTTCTTGAGTGAGTTCAGCATTGCATTTTCTTTGAAGCAGGTAACATTATAAAGCCTGAAAACTCAAATGTTTCTTCAGTCTTCTGTTAATCAAGACATTCTTTCATCTGCTATGACTTGCAGGATCTCCATCTGCCACTATATTCTGAAAAATAATAATCTTGATGTGTTTTCCTTGACCAGGATTGGTCTTAACTGGCAGCTGTGACCAGAGATCCTGAGACACTGTTCCCTTTCTACATGTAGAAGAAATACAGAACAAAGTAAAGTCGGAGGACAAGGGCAGATTATTGAATAGTATCTTGATTCCACAGCACATCTTGCAAAACAGCTCTTCAGGATATCTGCCAGCAGTGTTGAATGCTTTCCTGTTATGTTGTGCTGCTCTGGTTCTGATGTTCTTGTTGCCATCTGAAACACACTGACTACCTTGATGCAGAATAGGACTCTCTGGAGTCTCCAGTATGTATCTGGATGGCTCATAGCTATTCTCAACTACTACTGCAGGTCCCCCATTTTCATGTCTCTGTCGTAGTTTCTAGTTTATATTTCAGATTGTCATGTTAAAGTGTTTTTTCACCTTCTACTATCATCAGAGCATGAAGGAACTTGTGTACAGGAGCAGCAGTAGGAAAGGGATCTCTTGGTCCACTTGTCTTTCTATCTCATCTCTTCTTGCCTCTGTTCTGTAAGACTGGAGGGTTCCCTGTTGCATGCATTTTTTTCTGTTATAATTAACAACAGTAAATGTACCTGCTTCTGTGATGCTCAAGACCTGACAACTTTTTTCCTTTTTCAGACTAGACTTACCACAGACAGCAGTTTAAACCTAGTTCACATAAGCTTCCTGTCTAGCTTCTTAGTGCACAAATCTTAAAATCTTTCAGTCCAGTAAGAATAAAGGTGGTATGTTTGACATTGGGTGTAAGATTTATATGGACAAATATTAACTTTTAAATCTTGAAGATGAAAACTAAAGGATTAAAATACTTGTGGAAGAGAGATCAAAATCAAGATACTTAAAACTATCTGCAAGGAGTTGTTATAGGCTTAAGTAGTTTGTGTCCCTCTTTATAGAGAACAAAAATCTTTAAGCACTTGATGTCCAACTGGAATTGATATGAAATAGTTCTGTCTATGAAAATCCCTGAAGAAATAAAAATTTAAAATAGGAAATATAAGCACAGCTACTGGGCATTTTTTAAGAAGTGGTTTAAAGACCTTTATTTGGTACCTACTTCTTTGTTTCTCATGTTTCCCAAGTTACTGTCAGAGCTCTGCTCTTTGGGTTAGTAAACAGCACTGTGTGAATGTGCATTAGTAGCAGAATAGTAAGAGCTTAAGAACAGCAATCCAAGACCTGATGACTTCTGTGCTTATTGTGACTGGCCCCTAAAATCATGATCTCTGAGTAGCAGTATACCTCTCACCTAAGCAACACTTAATCTCAGCTTCTGTATTTGTAGGTGGCAAAGTGAATATGTTGGAGGGAAAAGCCTTTTTCTCAGATGTCTGACACTTTATTTCAAGAAGCATAATATTACCCTTAAAGTCAGAACACCACATATCCTCTTCCAGAAGTCATATCATTGTTAACAGTATCTTTTCATTAGATCATGTCTCCCATATGAAGACTCTAAAACAACCACTTGGCTATCCTTTTGAACCTCTAAATGTTGTTAGCTATCAGTCATGAACATATTTCATGCCGATATTGCTTTCTGAATTATCCCTGTAAACACTCTTAATTTCTGCATAACCTTACATAGTTTCTTGTAGGGTAGACACCAGCAGGCAAGTTCCATCACCATGGATCTTTTAACTACCCAAAAACTTTCCTGTTGAAGGAAAATATTCCCTTATTCAAATCTTGGTCCTCTGAGACTTAACCCATTCAGAACAGAATGCTGCCGTGGTGGCGAATGGGAGACTGTTAATCTCCGTTTTCCTTGCTGTTAGCTTGGTAACTGGTGCAATCCTCTAAGCTTTTATTTTAAGACACGTTTGCAAAAAGTGTCAGGTGTTCTGGAGGTTATGTAGAGCAAAGATAGGCAAAACTATGTTCCAGGAAAGAAAACTTGGATGGATGGGTATACTTTTTTATAGAAGGTTGAAACTTCAAAAGGTGAAAGAAAAGTGAATTCAGTTTTGCTGCTTTCTCTTTGTACTTCTCAAGAAGCATAGGCTAGCTTCATCAAAGAAATGTCTAAGTTTCTCTGTGTGGAACATTTAGTACAACATACCTTTTGGTGGTAGGGCTGTGAGCTCTTTCTCACATCATTAGACAGCCCATAGTCTTTCCTGACAGCTTTATAACAAAATTGCAAGAATGCTCTTCTATTTGAGTTTAAGGTGATGTCAGTTAATTTGCCAGCAAGGTTTTTATGACAGAAATTCGAAAGCACTACACTATGTTTTAACTAATTTTTGTGCAACTCCTAATTTTTAAGAGCATATTTAAAATAAAATATGGGGCAGTAGAAAAACTTCCAGTTCTTCTGTTCTTGAACTTGAGGGACTTTGATAACCAGAATTAAGATTCTTGACCAACTTTTCTTTCAAAATAGCAGTTGAAGTCCAGAAGTTAGGTTTTAGTCATAAGACAAGCTTTATATCTAATTAAAGATCTCCTTAATTAGAGACCACTTGTAATAGAAAACATACTCCTTTATGGTGGCTACCCATAGAAAAGTATAAATGAATTTATTTGCTCTATTTTTAAGGAGGAAAAAAAGCTTGGTTTTTTGGTGGTTTTTTCTTTTTTGAACCTTCAAAGCACTTAAAAGCATTACACTTAATGTCTACAAAGATCTTATTTTTTTTGGAACTGGATCCTGTTAAGAATCCTCATTCTCTAAGTGGGTTTAAAAAGTCAACAGATGAACGATGTTTTTATGTGCCTGATATCTAAAGTGGACTTTACAAAATAGAATTAAGTGGCTAGGTCTGCACTTTGGGAAGCTATAAGGATAGTAGACAAGACATCTGTCGTAAGGACCTGGAAGAATGGGTTGTTAAAAAAACCTTAAGCAGGGGTTCTCCCTCTGGACTTAAAGAATCTTGATTCAAGGCCTCTTGGTAAGCCAGAATGTCCAGTGTAGCTTCTTTGAAAGAAAAACTTTTTTCCAAAGTGTTGATCAGGACTTCTAGTTTTAACCTACTTTGTTGTACAGAAATGCTGTGAGAGTGAACCTAGCTTTAATGAACTTACTTTCTTGTATTGTAGGCATCCTTAAATGTCAATGACGTACCTCGATCTATTGTAAATGAAGAATTTCTTCAGGATCTTAGAGCCACTAAAATCTCATATTCGCAGGATGCAGAAGATAGAGTATTCAGAGCTCATGGTAAGAGAACTTCATTTGTGTAACTGTACTGCTTTCATTGCTTCCTTGTTTGAACTTGTTAACTTATTGTTTGTGTTTCAGGTCACTGCCTACATGAGATATTTGTACTCAGGGAAGGAATGTTTAAGCGAATTCCTGATATAGTTGTATGGCCTGGTAAGTTTTAATTATCTTATTCCCCTTCTGATCTGGGAGGCCATTGTTTACTAAACTCCTATGCTTTCTTGTCATGGGGAAGCTGTCTCTTGGTTCAGTTTCTGTAAAGACAAGTGAAGTCACTGAAGGAATTTTCTCATGAATGGTAATCCTGATCATTTAACATCTGGATTGCAGGTTGTGCCTGTGAAATTTATTATTAAATATAGATGAAGCTTCTGTTCACAGCTGAATTCATGACATAAGTAACCACAGTGTAATTTGAACTTGTATTTTCACCAAGAATAGCTGTCTAAACAGCAGTCTAAATCTTGTTTCTTAAAGGAGTATGCGATGGTAGAAGGGTAGTGAAATCTTTGTGTTAAAGAACTTTGTTTTATGACATGCTGTACTTTAAAAAAAAAGTGTAACACCTGTAACTCCTATCAGAATGCTTTACAAAGGACCATTGACTTGAAGAAAAAGCAGTGCAATCTGAGTGCAGACTAGACCCACTTTAAACAGAGTAATAACTAATGCTGTTGTAGATAATATGTAGCAGAAAATGCTTGCTTCTATCTAGTAGAAGGATAGAAATACTTAAATGGATAGGACTTTATTTGCATGCTTGTGTGAATTTTCTACTTGAATCATGTTTCTCTGGTCACTAGGAACTACTTTCCATATGCCATTTTTCAGTAGCTAACCAAAAAGTCATTGGATCTAAGTCAATTCTGTCAATTTCTGTTCTGCTGTATGAATCCAATTCTTTCCTTTACCTTTTATAACTCTTTCTGATATTCTGATAGCTGCACTGCATTAGAAACTCCCAAAAAATCTGATAAGAACTTACTTTTGGCTAAGTTTTGCTTCCTTTATTTGGGGGGAGGGGGGCAGAAATCACATATGGGAACCATAAAAAGAGGCACTATAAGATGCATCTCATTACTTTGAGGACTGGTACTGACATGACAGGACTGGTGGCTATGAACATCACTTGCCACAGCTTTATACTGTGCAGCTCCAAAAGCAACTGAAATGAAATGATTGACTGCTTGTGTTTAAAGCTGCTTTGTATGGCAAGAGCAAAGTAGCCAGAGTTTGTAAGCCTGTTTATTCAGTCCTGCTCACTGTCTGCTGTTTGCACAAACTCATGTACACCCTGTATTTGATCTGTTTTTTGATTCTTTTCCTTGCCTGTGCACAAGCATTTCTGCTTCCCTCTTTGACCAGATACAGAGTGTATTCTGAAAAAGTAAATTTCACCAGCAACTCTACTTTTGAAACTGAATGTCAGCCAGGAAGAAAAAGATGTGTTGTTCAGCTCTCAGAAGAGACTTATTTCTCACTTAAAATAAATTGGACAGCCTATTTTCAATAAAAGTTTTAAACTTGACTTGTTCTCCAAGAAATGTAGGTTAATTGTTAACTGTTTGGTAGCCCATCTTGCCCAAGAATTTGCAGGAGGTCTCAATCTGAGTAGAGCAGGAGACTAAGGCTGTAGTTAGCTCTTCAAATGCAGAATTGTTTCAGGTCTAAACTTCATTCTGAAACTGATACTTCTGAGCCTAGCTCTTTTTTAGTGCCTAACTCTTGGAAATGTCTTCCTTGCTGGTGTCAGAAGAGGAGCTGCTGCTTATTCAGACTGTAATAGTTAGTAGTAAGCACAAATCCTGTTTTTTAACTGTTTGGGCTTTTTTTAGTTTGCCATGAAGACGTAGTTAAAATTGTGGAATTAGCCTGCAAACATAATCTCTGCATAATACCATTTGGTGGTAAGTGTTATGAAATCTCAAATTTGTTTAACATTACTACTGAAAATGTATTCTATTTAAATTCAATTTAAATATATGATCTTAGTAATACATTGTACCAATAATTCAGTAGTTGGTTTTAGTAGAATTTTGAGTGTAGTCTTAACTTTTTTATGATCTTTCAGTACTAAAAGCTGCTATATTCAATTCAGTGGAAGGCATTAAAAGTATGTCAACACCTTGAATATTGAGTGTGCAAGAGGAGTGATTATAAGAAGCTGAAATCTACCTCTATGCCTTGGAAGCCTTCTAGGAAATAAGTCAAATTCAAATATCTGTTAGAGCTATCATGGTTTTGGACACATTCCTTGTGCTCATTTCCCACAAACATGTATGAATTAGGTTTTTTGTTGTACAATTGAAGCTCATAAGCCCAGGGATGATTGTGGTCAGATACTATGCTGCAAAATCATTAACCATAATTCTGATTTCCTTTTAGACATTGTTCATTTTGAAAGTTTTATACTCTAACTCCTGTCGCAAAGGGTTTTCAGAAAATGCCTCAGGTACAGAGTACAGGTAAAGGCCTGTATAACCTGTGTCCTTCTCAGCCTAAAGAATTTCTAAAGGACTTCAGGTTTTTAGTTGTGGATTCTTTTTCTTCTAAGCCTGCTGAATTTGAGTGGTGAGCTACCTTGCTTTGACTTAGAGCTCAGGGAACACAGGATGTTGGCTTTCGTGAGCTCATTCTGTGAGAAGCTTTTTGACAAGAACTCTTAATTCTGTGGGATAAATCTGCGTGGTTTATTTGGTATTTGCTTATGCTGTAGGAGTATAGCCCTAGTTTTTACTAAATTTTAAATTTAACATTTACTATTTGAGAAGATGAGCATGTCACCTGAAGACAATACCAACTGATGAAGCTGGTTTCTTCGTAAAATGCTCTCATCCTTGTTAGATACATCTGGAGAGCTAGAAGACTGCTACCAGTCGCCTTTGGTAGCAGTAAATTGGTATAGCTGAAAGCAGCAATATTTGATGGTCTCTTGATTGCTGACCAGGATACAGAAAGATCTTCAAATTGTTTTCCAAATTTCTTTATACTGAACTATGGGCAACTTCTGGAGTTATTACTGTAAGAGGTTATTATTTAAGGAAAATGCTGCCTTTCCTGTCATTGGAAACAAAGGTGACAGGCTTTACTGCTCTTGGAGAGTTTTATTAGTTGTTACTGTCTCTGTACTTGCCATTGGTTGTTCTTCTGGTAGCTTGCTGTGGGTCTCCAGCATCCTAGTCTCTCTTCCTATGGCTTTTGTAGCCTTTGAGAAGCCAAAGGCTTCTTGGAGTCTGTTCTGTATTATCCTATAAACGTACATTAGAAACCTCCAGAGAAGTTTGACATTTGGGTTTATCTGGGTTTTTTTATTGTTTCTTTCTTGCTTTCAGATAAGTATTGCATTCTTGTATTAGGTAGCCTTCTTAAAACAACTTTTTAGGTAGAAGTCTAGTGGCTTCCATAGTGATCTCAAAAGAATATATAGAAACCATAGGTAGCTTTGTTTCTTGGATAGGTTTTGTTATTTCTTATCCTGCCATGTTTTAAAACTCTATTCTGGACTTAACAGAAGCAGCTGAGATGGTCACAGAATTTCATGGTTTGTTATCAAGTGCTGTTAAAGCATTGTCAGCTCCAGTGCTGCCTTGATTTTGTGAAACCCAGTATGGGAGAAGGGACAACCTTAAAAGGCTAATCCCTTGCCTCAAACAGTTAACTTCAGTGATCTTATTTTGTAAAGTTCAATATCAGAAAGAAGGGAGAGGGGGATGGTATGTGAAGAATTGCTACCTGAGAATTTTATGATCAGAATGTCCCTCCTGTATTTGCAGGAGGGACAAGTGTCTCCAGTGCCCTTGAATGTCCTGAAGAAGAAAAAAGAACAATTGTCTCACTGGATACTTCACAAATGGTATGTCTCAATTTTTTTATTTTTAAATTATCTTATGATTACTGTGAATGGTGACTATTAGAGAATGACACTTCTTTCTTTGCAAGAATAAAGTAGGGATGGAAGTATTAATCTCTACCATGCATGATTAAACTTGTACTCCTTCAATTGAAGTGTTAATTTGCTGATGTTAGCCCTGTACTACTTCATATGACCTGTATGTATTTAATAAGAAAAAAAAAATAGGCTTAAGCCTTCTTACAGCAGCTTTAAGTGAAAATCAGAGTAAGCTACTATTCTTCTATATTGGAACTTGTATCTGAGGTTAAATTAAAGGCTACAAGGAAGCTATTTGTTATTGCAGATTTCACTAGTTTTTGCAGACTTAAAAATACTTAAAGGTTGGTAAGGTGACCTAATACCTATAAATCAACTTGAAGGATCAACTTTAAAGAAAAAACTTAGATTTTTGTGTAGATAGCATCTTGAGAATGTGAAGTTCTTAGCTTTATGGCAGTCTTAGATACTCAGTTCAGTAAAATTCAGTGCTGGTTTTCATCTTTCCATTATGAAGAAGCTTTATAATTTTAAAGTGATAGTTTTATAACTACATAGTAATGAGATGCTTCAGAAACAACTCTGCATCTTTGATGTAGGGTGCTACTGCCTCTGAGCATCTGCTGAGCTTATTAACTCCTTTAGCCTTCGAAGGTAAGACCTGAGTTCTGGCTCCATTTTCTCTACTCAGTCAGCGGTGCTTCATTTAAACTTGTTTCTCAGCGTGTCTGGCTACAAAGTGGTATTTTCTGCGAAGGTGGCAGTTATGTATTGAAGGAGGCTTTTCAGCTGTCTATATGGAGTGAAATCCAAAGAGTACAATACTGACACAGGCCTTCATTTGAACTTACTGATTCATAGCCCACAGCTCTGACTTCTGTCTGGTTTGGAGGTGAGAAAGGAATTTGATTAACTCTTACTACCATGCTTTTGTGTAAGCTAGATAGGTAAGTAATACCAAGTCAGAAAACAGACCACTTTCATGTGTCTTGAATGACTCTGCTAGCCAGTGCTTGCAGTCATTAATGAAGGGGGAAAATAAAGAAATTAGGGTGAAAAGAAGCATTGTCAGAGTTAAAACCTGGGTGTCTCAGACCAGTTAAGGTGATTGGCTAAGCTTTACTATTTTAATAGGTGCTTAATGGGTATCTTCATCTTATGTAGGGCCTATATTGCATAAAAACTGATTTATATAAGCATCTTGTATCAGTTAAGCAGTTTATGTTGAAACTGAAGGTATCTGAAAGGAGCTGAAATAGCTGGCTTTTACTACTTAGTTAGCCCTGATGTAGAGGGGAGGCAATTGCTTTAAAAGCATAGCTTAAGTTGGACTACAAGATGTCCACATTTGTCATTTGAAAAATCAAGGCAAAGGGAAGTTAGAGCTGTTCTCCTTCTACACAAAGTTAACTCACAAAATTATAGAAGTACACCAGAAGTGTACTTAAGAATGAAGAGTGGAAGCTGAAGCTTCTGTAGTGTCCTTACTATAAACAAAGCTAAAACCATGGTTTTCCCCTTCACGTGGATTGTCTTCACTGACAATCGTGTTTAGTGCACTGTGTAACTTGTAGTGTTTACTACTTTTCCTGTGTAGTAGAATATACTGATGGGACAGTGAGGATCTCATCAGATAAAATGATGTAATCCTTCCAAATATCTTGAACTTCTAAAGTATGTACATACTGTGACATCCTGCAGTATATCTTGTTTCTAGCCTAGTGTGTCAAAATTCAAGAGCTGAACTGGAAAAACTGAATGCAGTCTATTTAACCCATGGAGTATGTTTAAGAATACTTCTCTTGGTGTGTACCTAATGCTCAGATAGTCAAATTCAGGCACCTTCAGTTGTGTTAATTGTGAAAATGCCTGTATTGCTTAACTTCTGTAAGAGTTTTGACTTAATTCTTTCTGGCTTTTTTGCACTGTTTCTGTAAACATTCCTAGTATAAATTGACTAAGAAATATGTTACTTTTTTATAGTGGTGATATCATAAATTGTAACCTGTTGTGTAGCTGAGTGAGGGGGCTCAGCTTCCACTGCTGTAATAACTGGAGTTGTAGTAATAGTAAACTATACGACCAAGCAAGTTGATCTTATAGCATTAGGGAAGGAAATAAACAAAAATCTTTAACATTGATTCTTTGTTTTGATTGGCTTTTCAACAGAATCGGATTCTCTGGATAGATGAGAAAAACTTAACAGCTTGTGTGGAAGCTGGCATTGTTGGACAAGATCTGGAAAAACAGGTATTTTTAACTTGTCGAGCATCTAGTGTTTCTCCATATTTTTCTTAGCTGTTCCTCATGTCTTGTCTAAATCATTGAATTCTAGCTTAATTCTTGTCTGTTTTCATGCAGACCAGTGTGTTAAGCATTATATGCATGGCTATGAACCGTATCACATTGAATGTTGTATTTGATGAACATTTAAATTTTTTTCTTTTTAACTCTAGCCACAAAATGTGATTACAGTAAGAAGTTGACAATTCATAGGATCTAATGCTATGCTTTCCATTTCAGACCTTAGATAAACCTTGTGGTTGCAAGGCATGAGACATGGTACTAATTACCAGGAAAAACTCAAATTGTCACTTTGTGATGCATGTTTTAGTCATTTTGGCCAGAAGTAGTTTTCCTGGAAAGAGTAGAGCATATACCAGATTTGCTGTTGCTGCTGCTTAACGCCAGTTACAGGAGAGTAGCAGAAAGGATGGAGAGTTGCCCAGGACAATAGTCCAGTGGAAGATTAGATCACCTGCATTTCAAAGTGACCTCTAGAGGCTTTTAATTGCAGTTTATCAGAGCCACAGCACCCTTCTCAGAGTCCTTCTTGGTGCTCCTCTATAATCAAGCAAGTTGTGGATGTTTTACTAGTCCTCAGGAAATGTAGTTCTGCTTATTAAAAAAAATAATAAATTCTAGGACTTGATTTGATAGCTAAATATTGTCTAAACTTTTCTTAGTTTCTTAGTGCTTAAATGTACTTTACAAATATTCAGAAACTTGAATGGGTTTTTGAACTTCTTTTTGAGACCACTTTTTAGAAGAAAACTTGTCATACTTGACTAACAGAAATGTTTATGATGAGAAAGATAGCCTTTCCTGCCTTTTATTTTATTTTCCCTTTTAACATTTGATGTAATACTTGAACATTTCCAGATCTGTTTTTCAAGCGCGGAATTAAAATGCAAAGAGAATATTCTCTGCATTTAAAATGGCATTTTTCTAGAGTGGTAGTTTGATATTTCACTACTAGCTATCCTTTAAGTGTCCCAACTTTTCCTTTTACTTAGAGTAACAGACAATATTCCCCTGTTGCTTATAGCTCTTATGAGCTGAAACACTGCTGTTGCAGTTATTCTTTTTGAATATTTTTTGATCAAAACCCTTTTTTAATCAAGTTTTTCACTATGAAAAGAGTACTGGTTGTCAATTTGTTCAATATTGAATATAAGCTAGTATTTGTACAAAGGTTTGATGTATGGAGTGACTGAGCATGTGAGGACTTCTGTGCAATTCCTTCAATGTGCAAGGAATACATAATTAGATCATCTACTTAAAGTGCATGTGTTAAGTCTATTACATATACTGGAATTCCAGTATTACTAGCAAATGGGATGTGATTAAAGCTAGTGCTCCAAGTTGTGCTTGTTTTTGTAGCACAATCATCACCCTTGTAACAGTAACTAAGACAAAGAGCCAAATTCTAAACAAATAACAGAAAAAAAAAAGGAAAACTTGGTATTTGACAAAAGTTAGGCTGTAAATCTTTTATAATGGGCCATTCAAAATCAATGTGAACTTCACACATTTGTCTATCTTGGCTAGTGACTCTAGTGCGATTAAGACACTTTTCTGAGGGATGAGAACTTTAGATATTAGTGTACTCTGTAGAGAAGCCTCAAGTTACTTGTTTTTGTCAGAACAGAATATGGAATAATAGCTGATAGGTGAGGACTAAAGATGATGAAAGGATAATGAAGATGGAATATTTGATAATATTTTTTGTAATAAGCATTATCAATCAGATTGTGATTCTATAGGGAAAGCTAGCACATCCTCATATTTTTCTGGATGAAGCTGTCTCTTGCATCTGCAAAGTACGTAGCATAATCTCCCCCCGCCCTGTAAGTGCTCTTAGCACGTACTGTTCGTACAACAGGATTCAAGGAGCTTAGACCAAGTGCTTTGTACATGCGCAGTCAGTTACAAGTTTTTGATAGCATGGTCTTCTGCTGTGCTTGTGTTTATACAACTTGTAGAAATTGTTAAGTTGTGACTGAAGCAAATTTCTTGTCATCTTGGGGAATAAGGAGGGTGCAGGCTCCAACCTTTCCCTAATATATGACCAGTAAGTATCTAAAGCCACAAGCTCCTCTGGTATGAGAGGGGACCATGAGCTAGATGAATACTGTAGACATTACATAGAAGTGACTTTCAATCATTTCACTTAGAGCTGCTTTGTACAATGGAATATAGTTAATGATCCACATTGTGATATACTTAAATACCTTTGTCCAACTGGATTGTTATCAGTTGGTCAGTGCAAATTGATCATCTCAAATGCACTAACGCAGTTATCACTTAATGCGAGACTGTTGGGTCTTTAATTCTTCCTGTTCGACAGCTTTGGTATTGCAATTCTGAGGGCATCCAATCAACCTCAGGTGCTGTGCAGATGGCAAAGCCAAGCTAATACAGAAAAATGAGAAACAAGTGACTACTTAATGTACAGCAATGTGTGATCTGCATCACAAATAGTTGATGGTGTTGCATACAGGAAGCCCAACCAGATGGCTGTATATTAAAACACATCACTCCTTGAGAGAATTAAGCACAGGCAATTTGCTCACATTTTCTGCAGACCTGCTGCATATCACATTAGGATAGAAAGAACAAGAGATTAAGTGCGTTATTGGCAGCATTTGTGCAAAGTTGGCAGTTACTTAGTTATAACTTTTTTCCATATGTGTTTGAATTTGCACCTTCTTATGAACAATAAAGGTCTTAGTTTTAAAATATGGGGGAGGAGTATTATAGGTTCGTATGTAGCATAGTGTATGCACAATAGAAGCAGATTTAATTTGCATTTCATTTACATATGAAAGACAAAACTTGTTCCTCAATAAATGGATGTGTGGTCAGGATACTTAGTTTTTTAAACAAAAAAACCCCTTAGAATATTGAAATTTGGAGTACTAAGCAAATGCAGGCCGTGTAGAATGTTGTTTTGTTTTTTTTAGCTTGCTGAAAGTGGCTTCTGTACAGGCCATGAACCAGACTCCATGGAGTTCAGCTCACTAGGAGGATGGGTAGCAACACGAGCATCAGGCATGAAAAAAAACATCTATGGAAACATTGAAGATCTGGTAAATAGTTCTAGTATTTTTTTCAAATTAATTACTATGTTTGGAGGCTCAATATTTATAATGACTGAGGGAAAGGGGATAGTAAATTGCAGTTCTCTTAAGTGATACAGTTTTGGCATCAAATCTTGACTGAAATGCTTGTTTCCTTGCTTTTGATATTAGTACTTATAATCTGTATTACTGATGTAAAAGTCAATTTCATTTTGGTGCTCACTGGCTAGCTTAAGGAATTGTTACTCTGTCTGCCTCTGGTGCCTTCTTCCACTGTTTTGTGCTCTCTATTAATCCAGTGTAATAATCCTGTTGAACTTCTAGGGTGATTCCAAAAGGCCCACGTTCTCTCCAATCTGCTGTGTGTTCCTGAAGTTGTCTAGTTGGATCATCTAACTCTGACAGCAAGCTAGCTCTTTCCACCTTCCTACCTCTCCCTAGACTAGTAGTTTTTTCAAATCAGTATGCTGATCTAATTGACCTTGTGGATGCACAATGGTGAAATTTAATGCCACCACGTGGTCTGTAAGAACCCTGGGGAAGGAAGCAATGGATTGGGAATGGCAGTATTCTACTCTCAAATCTGTTTTAAGCATTAAAATGATTCAGCTTTTTATTAATCCAGTAACTTGTTTTTTCAAGCTTACTTTTTTAATTTAAAAATCTACCTTTTTTGTTATAATAAATATATTGAAGTTAAATCATCACTGTTCAGACTTTACCTGCCTTTTAGCTTTAAACTTCTAGCTTTCTCTCGTAGTTTGTACAATAGCCCTTCCACACACATGGGTTTTTTCTTCTTCTCTGTGGCACACTCTAGGTAATGTATCCCCATCACCTCAGGCTCATAGTTCAGACATGTTTGGTCTGTGCACAGATGTGACACTTTACTATCAGTGACTGAGCGTGGCAGGAATGACAGTTTTTATTCAGCAGGCCTGGCTGAACTAAAACTACTAGAGCTTGCAGAGTGTCATCTGTCCCCTACTGCTTGAAGTGTTACTGAATGGTATAGTTTTGCTTGTGCTAGATGCAAAGCAGAAGGCTTTTCTATCATGGACGCATAACTTCAGGCTAAAACAGCTTCTGAAATTTTCATTAAGAGGAGATAGGATTGAAAATTGATTCAGAACAGTTCATGAGTTTCAAAATGGCACAGTAAGAAAGTTTCAGGGAAGTGTTTGCTTTCTGAGGAAACTGTATCTAGAAACAGTGTGTTATATAGGCAGCCTAAAATCCACTTATTGCAGAATCAACAGTTCGTAAAATGCATATAATAAAATTCTTGAACAAGTCTGAGCAGGATGAAAATTACCTAGCTACCTGTGCTTGAAAGTTTTAAAGCTGTTAGTTGAAATTCAGTAATTTTGCTTCATTTAAAGGCTTCACTAAAAAAAAAATCCAAAACTCATCCTTCTTTGGTATAAAATAATTGAATATATGAAATATATTTTAAAAAATCTGGGCTCTGTATTACATGTGCATTAATAAAGCTAGAAGCAATAACATTGGAAAATATTTTTAAACGACTTTCTAGCCTTACGTATGTATCAGTCTTATGGCAGGTTTAATAAATTACTTCTGTCTGTCTTCCTAATAGAAATATTTCTGTAGCAACTGATGACTGAATTACATTAGCTTTATGAAGCAGGTGTTCTAAAGCAAAATTTAAGCCCTCACTTTTTTCCCCTCTCAATATTACTAGGTGTATTCTGGATTAAAATCCTAGTACTCAAAGTACTGTCTACACTGAGGAACAAAAGTTTTAAGTGGTACTGTCTGCATGTAGTCGACAGCTGTTTTGATTTGGCATAGGACTGGAAACAACCTGTTGTGTGGGCAAACCATGCTGTGTTAGAAATAATTGTTGGTAACAGTCCTCAGGTTATCCCAAAAGTTTTGGGCTGCCTATAGAATGTATAAAGTCTACAAAGCTGAACTGTATCAAGCTTAATACGTGTTTTGTTGAAAATATACAAAAATGTGTGCTTAATGCAAGTATTTTTAGTCATTGCATATTGTTTACACAGGTGATTCATATAAAAATGGTAACTCCTAGAGGAATTGTAGAAAAAAACTGCCAAGTACCTCGCATGTCAACAGGACCTGATATTCATCACTTCGTTATGGGATCCGAAGGTATAAACACAGTAATTTCATGTAACTGCATCTTAATTCAGCTTCTGTAATGGCTCAATTTGAGCATCTTTAATGTTGTGGCTTCCAGTGTGTCTGAGTGGCATTATGCAGGCATTGTGTTAGGATAATACATTGAGACCTTAATTAGGACTGAAGTTAAGCAGCTCTGAAGAGTGCTTAAAACAGATCTGTGGAGTTAGCCTATAAGTCTAGTAACAAACTGTGGTGGGTTGACCCTGGCTGAGGGCCAGGTGCCCACCAGAGCTGCTCTATAACTCCTCTCCTTCATTAGACAGGGGAGAAAAAGTACAACAAAAAGCTTATGGGTCAAGATAAGGACAGGGAGAGATCATTCACTAATTATCGTCATGAGCAAAAGAGACTGAACTTTGAGAGGGAATTCATCTAATTTATTACTAAGCAAAACAGAGTAGAGGAATGAGAAGTAAAATCAACTCTTAAAACACCTCCCCCCACCCCTCCCATCTTCCTGGGCTCAACTTCACTCCTGGCTTCAACCTCTCCACCACTCCCTCAGCAGCACAGGGGGACAGGGAATGAG